TAGTCATTTGCTTGCCCTAAAGTACCAGAACATACAGAACCCTACTTTGCACTTTAGACATGGGCAAATATCAGCAGCTACGATCTCACACTTGAGCCAAGAATATGACCATGTGGTCAGAATTCATGAATGTCTTCTATGTTTTGCACTCGTCACATGTGGTACTGAGCAAACATACAGTATACTGACTGTTTTGCACATGTAAATCTGCACACAGTTTATTCCTTTATGCTGCATGTGAGTGTTATTTTTATTGCTTAATTTATTTACTCTGATAATCTATTTTGCTTCAAATTACAGAGCTGCAGTGTGTGTGCTGCAGCAGGTGGGACTGTGATATATCAGTGAATTATTGATGGACATGATTCATCGTAGCTCTCTTTCAAAGTCTAATTAGTAACAAGGAAAAAAAACAGAGGCTGAAGTTTCTTACATGCAATTTACCTATGTGGGAAACCCTGCACTGCCACTAAATCGTCTCAAAGCAATAAATCACTTAAGTGTATTACTGTTGTTGGGAGAGGTGTATTCCTTTAGGATGCTGAAAAATGGGAAAACAGACAATGTCAGATTTATTGCCAGTAATTTCAAGGCCGTAGCCTAACCCAAATACCCTACTCAGCTCTCAAAGTCCAAACATTTAGTAAGGTACCAGGGTGTCCTGATACAGATAGTTCTAGCATTGTAATTTCAGTTTTTCAGTTTTTGTAGGTTTACATACTGCACAGATTTATTATTTATGACCAAATCAGATATATAAAGTTAAATGCAGTCCTTCGCTGTTAAGATTACTGTTCACTGTCCTAAAATCAACAGCAGGAAATTATATTTAATGAACTGTGAAACAGGCCATATGTCTGCAAATACAGACAATTCAGATTCCAAAAAAAAAGGAAAGTTACAGGTTTTAGTAAAATGCTGGCCACATATTGATGGAATGCAGCCCATCATACAGCATAGAGTACTCAAGCCACAATAAAGGCCGTATTCTTCTTCCCAGACATGTCACAATGTGTGCTTCACTCAAATAGCAACCAACCATTCCCTTTTCACTGCCATGCATTTTGTTCTTTGTCGATATTAAAAAACAATATATAGGCCTACATGATTTCTTATAACTTAATCTTTGTAAACAACAACACACAGAAGTTAATAAATCCCATGATAACAAAATTACCTGGTTACTGTCATGTTTACATTGTGTGGTGTACTGTGTCTGTGCATTGTTGCATGGGCTTACTAACTGTACAAAGATTGGACGCTACCCACAGACAGTTTTGATTCATCATTGAGGTGCTTTTTCACTTTAACACTGATTGTACAAATGTTATGATGGAATCTGATAAAGTGTAACATATACTTTAGTACTGACTATCTTTTTTTTTATCATCTGATCAATAAATTCCTTTCACGTAGCAGTTTTCGCCCATCAGAGAGTAAAGAGAGCCCTGAGAAAATAACTGTGGGCACTGACAAAACGCACTGTATTTTATCCCATACCTCGATTCCCTTAAATTTCTCTTTCTCGCATTTAACTTCCCTCTCTCATTCCATTCATTCCTTCCCTCACAGCCTTTATTCCGTGCAGTTCTATGGATCTCTTGGCGCGCGCGCGCGCGCGTGTGTGTATGTCTATGTGTGTCTGTGTGTGTGTTTGTGTCCAATAAAATGTTCATGTGCAGCTGGAAGAAGTCATTGCTGAGAAACGTATAGAGATACTGTTGAAACTGGAGCTGCAGGAAAGGCATTGCATGTAGTGTGAATGAATAAGAGGCAGCCTGTATATGACTGTTTAGTTTCAGCGCAAGTATGTCCCGCACAGAAAGTAGGAGAGAAGCAAGTAGATAAAGGGCTGACACACGGCAGAATGCAAATTTGACACGATGACATCATGGCTATGCTAATTGGCATGCTACGTCATATAGCGACTATTCAAGCAGGCTTTAACACGAGATGTCTGCTAGTCGCCGCCCGAGCTAATTGTTGCTGCCTTTTGGAGGATTTTTAATGCAACTATCAGACAAATAATGTGGCTTGTTGTAATTGACTAACAGAACATGGTGAAGTCTGTGCTCCTGTTTTTTGAGGTGAGTGAAATTCTAGCATGGTTTTATTTGTTAGCACAATTTAGCAGGTATTAGTGTATGCCATCACCATACCTGGCTTGTTAGCCTAGCTTGTTAACCAGTGTTGCCAACTACATTCAGTGAAAAGTTGCTAAAGTCGATGAGTCACTAAATGTAGCTAGATTAAAATATGCCAATTAGCATATAAATCCTGTTGTCTTTTCATTCTGCCTAGTGTCGGCCAGTTTCAGCCCTTTATCTATTTACTTCTCTTCTACTTTCTGTATTCACATATACAATGTTTAACTCAGCCGAATTTCTATTAAATCCATTCTCATTTACATGTTTTGCTGTTTCTGTTGTCAGACAACAGTACAAGTATGACATAGTGACTTAAATGCAGCCCATTAAGACAATATGTGAACCAGCACTCACTTCCAAGCCATTTCCTAGATGCTGCTCTGCTGTTAAAATCCAGATTGTAAAACAGCAATGTTATCTGACAAAACAACAAGACAACATCTGTTCTCTGGTTTCGGCTACATTTACTCATAAAAAGGTCACTCAGAGAGAAGCTTACAAGCAACAGAGTACCTTTTTTCTATCACAGGGTACATAGCTTGCATTAGCACAGCTCATTCATGTCTATGTCAGCTACCGGGTAGACTGAATGACCCGCTCCATCTCTCTGCCTCTCACTGAACAGAGCAGACAGTCGCAGACAGTCGCTGGATTGGCAACATTGTCATTAACTAGCTAATTAGACAGCAAATTAATCTGCCTTGAGTTAGCCTTTGAGCAATACACCCAGCTGGGCTAACAATAGTAACGAGAGCGTATGCTTTTCACAGTTATTAAACCAGCGTGCACCGAAGTCTCGGCCCCACACACACCTCACCTCTTTGCTCTTTTTTTTGGATTAGCCAGGAGTTAGTTGCAGTAAGGCACTGCTAAAAAGGAGATGGCGAAGAGCTGAGCTATGATTTACACATATACTATATAACACAGGACAAGGTTAGGTGAAATTATAATTTTTGACAAAATTACACTATGGACACCTCCCCTCTGGAGTACATCGCTGCTCATTTCTGTGACAATGAGCCAATTAATTTGTTTGCTAGTGGATTTTACTACTATGTCAGTGCAAGGTCAAAGTAGCGAAGACTTCATTACTTTTTGGGTGTTTATAAAGGAGAAGCTGGGTTTCTTCTACCATACAGAAACACACACACTCGCACATTATCAGGCTTTGATGATATACATTTTTCATTGTGAGACCACCTGTGACAAAAAGTAATATGTCTAAGAAGCCAACAGCCCAAGAAGCTCTGACTTTCAGTAGCATACGGCACACAAACATTCGCAGAAAGACAAACATTTCTCTCTCTTCTAAATCTGGCTCTCCCTCATACACACTCAAACACACACACACACACACAAACAAACAAACACACACACACACACACACACACACACACACACACACACACACACACACACACATACGGCGGGGCATGACAGAGAGCTATTGACTGCCTCTACCAGGCCTGACAGACCATTCACAATTTCTCTCTGTGTGAAGCCTAATGTACTGGAGGAGCTGAGTGTGTTTTTGTTTGTGTGTATGAGTGAGTGAAAGGGGCAAATTGAAAGAGAGGAAGGAAAGCAACTTCATGACTGTGTGTGTGTGTGTGTGTGTTTGTGTGTGTGTGTGTGGGTGTGTGTGTATGTCAGGAATATATATTTGTGTATTTGTCCAATGTGATTTTTGCTGCCTTTGCGTGTCTCATATATATGCCGTTGTAGTCGCTGTCTTGGATTTCTTTGCAGAGTGCAAGGAGTTGTGGGTTGACACTGAGGTCAGCTTGGACTGAGCAGCAGTACAGCTTTGGTCTCTTTGACTATTTTCCTCATGGCTACTCCAAGTCATTGGGTACACAGTTCATTCAGCTAGACAGGTGGAAATGTGTATCTGGACTCAGGTCTGCATGATTACATTCAAGGTTACATACTGCAGAAAAGACCATTATAAAGCTGTTGTATTTTGCATTAAAAAGTTCATCCCCTTTTCAAGGACTGAATGATTTGAATTCAGGATCGTGTTAAACTTACATTATACAACAACCATTGAACATTTTAGATTGAGGTAACCAACATCCATTACCTGTTGTTATTTCACTTTAGCAAAAAGTTTGTATTTTTAATAAATATCTGTCTGTACAAAAAGTTTTCTTGAATTATTTTTGTATTCATTCCTGAGATCCAGTTGTTCTTTATAACAAATAGAATTTCACTCAGAATTTTAAAAGTGACCTGACAATATGTGAATCAAGGCAGAAGACAAATCGCAGTCTTAATTGTTAATTGTGATTGTGCAGGGCCTGGTGAGATGGGAAGGTTTAACTTATTTCACATTTCTGTTACTTTTTCCTCCCTTTTCTAAATCAAGTATGCATCTGCATCTTTTTACAAGGCCCTCTTGCTTGTTATAGGAGATATTTTTGCAGCGCGCTCTCATGAACTCAACAAAGTTTTCTTTGCCCCTGTGGTTCAAGTTTGACTGACCTGACTTAGTTCTTGACCCACAAATAGCTTCAACCTTCAGCTATGCCTGTGTTTCTACTCTTCTGAGCAAGTTTCTTCCAGACAATGCACTGAGTGAAACCATACAAAAAAAATACAAGACTTCAGATTTTTCATCTGAGTGTACTGAGGACATCTCATTGTGTAGATAAATTTTAATTTTTGATGCATTTTCTGCAATTAATGCAAAATAAACTAATGTTCACTGTTTTCTCTTTTTCTTCACTCCTCCCCTTCAACTTTCTGTCCCATATTTTCCCTCTCTGCTTCTTTCTCTTCTCTTTCTCCTCCCCTGTGCTCCTTCTGTCATCCATCTCTCCTTGGTTCTTCATATTTTTTCTCTCTCCACAGCAAAGTGTGATGAGGCTCTAGCCTCTCCTCTGCCTCACACAGCCTTCACCAGCTCATCTGTCTTCTCCAATGGATATGCACCTGGATATGCCAAGCTCAACAGGAGAGGAGGTAGACTCACACACACACACACACACACACACACACAGAGAAAAAAACCCTGCAGATGTCCATGTACTCACATACATGAATGGTGTGCATAAAAGGTTGCACATACACTAGAACTAGAGAAAAGTAAATATAGAATTCAGGTACAAGGACATACATCCGTACAAATGATTTTACAGATAACACACTGTGAGATAAGTGCCCAAGCCTTCATTGAGTGACATGTCTCATAGTGCTGCACAGCTGCTATCACCTCTTCTTTTTCTGATTTCTCTCTATTTCTTTTTACTTTCCTCTCTATATGTCCTCTTCCATTTCTCCATCTTTCTCTCCCTCACTCAGCTCCAGTTATTATCTCAGTGACTCAGACTCGAGCTCATTTCCACATCAGTCCACAGCAGAGAGAGATAGGGCCAGACAATTACACCCCTCTATGTTTATACAATTAATAATTCATACTTTTCTATCTAATATAGTCACACTACAGCTGAGGAAACAGAGCTCAGAGCTGGCAAATAAAGGCAAGGTAATCTGGTGTGTTTAATCATACCAATAGAATTACTGCTGAGACAGGACTGCTCCTCCTTTAATCATGATACCTATGAACAAGAAAAAAGGGAAAGAAGGAAAGAAATAAAGACCAAACTGTTAATGACAGCAACAATGGATGACTGTAAATATACAACTTGTGCATCCTTTCTCTTTTTTATCCACTCTCCTCAGAGATGGAGGTCCTTAGGGAACATGTAATTGTTGAATCATCAAAATCTGGTTCCTTGGAAATTGTTGTTGTACCGAAAAGCTACAGTAATACTTGGATTAAAGTAGGTGAACAATTTATAGATACAGTGTTAAATGCACTCACTCTCAGTTCACAAAAGTCATTTAGTTTAGTCTCTTATTTTCCTTCCAAAATACCTTTATCAGTTTGGACTAGTTTCATTAATACAGTGTTTCTGAATAAGGCACATTTATTTACTGATTGTAAATTCAATTGAAGAATTTTCAGTTTGGACTAAAAAAATGTGATATTTTCTGACCTCAAGGCAGATCTGCTCACCTTTAAAAAAAAAAAAAAAGAAGTACAATTTAAGATTAATTATTAATTACTCAGACTAAATGACTTCCAAAATCTACAAATACAATGACTAAACCCATTGGCTGAGATATATCCAGAGACATTTTACTGTTGCTGTATTTAGCAGTGAAAATGTTTCATGATAAAAAGAAGAATTACTCAGCGCTCTCTCTCTTTCACTACCTGTCAACTTTGACTTGTAATTAGGTGCCCAACATGTAACCTTGTTTTTCTCAGTGCAGTTTTTCTCCAATGATCCAAATGACACTATATGACAGTCAGAACCAGCACTGTGATAAACAACAAACTGACAAACTCCATCAGATGTTCACTTAGTGTGGAATGTGCCAAAATGGGTACATACTGATACAAGTACAGTGGCAATTAAGGCAAAGGATATAAAGTTTGATCTCATCCTCTGTGTCTTTGTGTCCTCCATAGAATGACACTGTGTTTGGATGATGAGGTCATCATCTCGTTAGCTTAAAGCATACAGTATGACTGGTGGAATATAAGATTAGAGAAGAAACTCATCCTCTCTTTTTTTGAAACCCAATAGAATTTTTTTGCTATAAAGGGAGATGCCTCTCAAAATTGAAATTGTTATTTTCTTGTCAGTTTTTAACACTGAATGAAAAACACATCAATTTAAAACAGAAACACAGATATCAAATGCACACAGATACATAAGTATACAAATTTACAGGCATAACAAATGCTCATATTGCACATGTTTAGACTGACAGTGAAACATTTGCAGACATAGAACACGCACTGAAGGAGAAACAAGTTAACAGCCCATCAAGCTTGCATGATACATGTAAATGGGCTGCATTTATAGAGTGCTCTTCTACTCTTATCAACCACTCAAAGCGCTTCACACTACAAGTTGCATTCAGCCACACATTCATACAGTGCTGTTTCTATCACACACTCGCACAGTCTCACCACCGATGATACATCGGGGGCAATGTGTCTGGTTCAGTATTTTGCTCAAGGACACTTCGACATGCAGAAATACCGACCATCCAATTAGTGGACGACCCGCTCCACCTCCTGAGCTACTGCACCACATCCACAGGAACACTCAAAGGCCTGAAAAACACGAGTCCAAACATGAAACACCCATAGCATCACGGACATGAGCATGTCAAAATACAGGATTGCACTCCACACAAAACTCTCATTCTTCCAGTTTGTAATGATATTTGAGTAGTTTAAGTCCATTGAATAACCTTAAATGGTCCAGAGATTTCAGAGTCCAGAGAAATTCAATGCAAACAATACAGGTGCCCCAACTTTTGTTGATTACTTAAAAATCCTCTGCGTGTACAAAGTCGGTGTTGAAACAAGCTGTGTTACTGATGCTTTAGGAAAATACTGTACTGCAGGAAGTATTGTTGACTCGTTGTAGGATGAACTCTGACTGGTTGGTTAGGATTCATCCTACAGCAAGATAGTGACGCAAAACAATAGAAGAACTAGATGGTGGCATCACATAATGGAAGACCATCAGTCTCCAGACTTAAACCCCAAGGAGCTGATTTGGGATTAGTCTCATATACCCAGGCCTATCGCCATAGCGCTGTGGAGAATGGTTTGGCTGCACCCATTAAGGAATAAATGCTCTGGCTTGTTTGCATTCCTTTAAAATTCCCCTCCAACAATACTCTGCTATGATTAATGTTTTGTTCAACATGGTTTTCTCACATTAAAAGTAAAAAAAAAAAAAAAAAAAACTCTGAAAAGGGCCTGGTCTTGTGCCTGACCCACCATTGATGCTTGCGCTAGCTTGACTGCATAAAGAGGTGTGTGTATCAAGATTTTAGCGGAGGAAACATCAGAGAGATCAGCCTTGATTTTCATTGGAGGGTTTTTTTTAAACCAATCACAATGGTCTTGGCTGAGCCCAAGATACAATGACGGTGCCCCTGCAAAACAGTGAGGAGGGTAACTTGCGGAACATTTGCACGTGAGGAAGCGAGCACTGTCATTAAAATAGGTATTTCCCTGCAAAGAAAACGCCACAAAAAACGGCCAAGACCAAGATCCAAATCTTGATCAAAACTTGCCATTTTCAGTGTGTAAGTTGTTAGCTCAGGCTAAGAATTTCCCCACAGCCTACATCCATGAGTCAGACTAATTTGGAATGAACTAGACAGAAGGTGAAAGCAAAGCAACCTGAAAGTGGAGCAAATTTGTAAAAAAAAATTTCCAATGGTTTATTTGTTCTGTTCTTTAATTCCAGAAATACTGAGACATTGAATTAAGTAAAGTAAAATTACAACTGGAACATTTGAGATGTTGTTAAACTTTTGCCCGGCAGTGTATACAGCAGCATGGAGCCGCTCACACTTGGCACACACAGCTCACAAAAGCACAGACTTGAGGATTATAACATACCCACACAGTGATAATATAAGGAGGGGTCCCTCCAAGCAGCTGCAATTTGGCAGCCAAATGTGCCATGAGTGTGGCATGAGTGTGTGCTGATAAGCCAATCTACTCCAATCTCCTAGTGCTATGGAACAGGGGAGGCAGAAAATCAATGGGACACACCACTCATATTAAGCTTGTGTTGTGAATGCTGACAGCTATTAGATTTTTAGGCTGTGGGTATATGTGTGAGCTTGTGTGTAGCTATATGTATATCCATTTTTGGCTGCACGTTCCTTGTCTGTCTGTGTGTGTGTGTGTGTGTGTGTGAGAGAGGTAAAATGATGCCATAACGATTTTCCGGCAGGCAGCCATCTTCTGTGTGCCAGCCAGTCACCATGCCCATAGTTCATTGCATGCTATTTCATCTGACTGCTGTCACACACACACACCGTGTTCTCTACCCATGTATGTGTGAGTAAATGTGAACGTGTGCTCTTAATATGAGTAATTGTATGTGCTGTCAGGATGTATAATTGGGTGCATGTAGTGTATAAATACCTCAACATGAATAGGCTCATGCACATGGCTTTATTTATGTATTTACTTCAAAGAAGGAGCTTGATAGATGCTCTGTCTTTGTCTCCTAAAAACTAAACACGTTATTTACCAGCAGACTCATCATCATACTGTGAAATGCATTTTTTCTTTGTTTGGAAAAATGCAATCACTCACAAGCTGCAGTACATTATATATAAAATTACATCACAGCATCTTATTTAAGAACAGTTCAGTTTGATTGTCAGTTGCTGATGCAGTTTATTATTACATTATTACATTAGCTGTACTGTAAGCTAGATTTGTTTGTTTTCTTTTTGTTTCCATTATTATATTTGTGATAGGATAAATCAAGCAGGGACAGTTTATGCCTCTGGGTTTTGAAGACAGAATAGACTGATAAAGACTCTGACACTTTATTTGTCTGTGTGCCCCTTTCGACTCATTCCCTCTTCTATCCTCCCTCTCTCTGTTAATATCTCATCCTCCTCAATCTCCCCTTTTGTCTTTCTCCTTTTTCCTCTATTTCTTCTTTTTTTTTTTTACTTTACGTCCCTCCATCCACTTGTTCCCTTGTCTTTTTCTCTCCTTCTCCTTTTCTTTCTTTTCCTGTCTGATCATTTTTCTTACCTTTGAGACCTTTGCTCATCCTTTTCTCTCTCATGAGGTGGTTTTTATCCAAAAAAACAATGTTGAAATGCCAAATATTTGAGAAAACCAGTTTCCCCATATAAGGTTTGTAATTTTCTTGTAATTTCATAAACTTTGCGAAGCTTTTCACTAGCTGCAGAGGACATTATACAATTGTTGTAAACTCTATTATTATACTTGTATCAGGCTCAGAGCTGATGGCTCATTGCAGAGCGGGTAAGGACCTGTAGGGAGAGTGAATGAGTGACAGAGAGATTGACATTGGTGAAGTCGATGTCACATTTCCTCTCGATTTTAATCTTATTTCATAAATGCTCTGATCTAGTTTTTGTCTTTATAC